GGACAACAAACGAGGGGCTGTGACAAACTGTTTCGTCGGAGTTTCACCGACTCATCAAGAGGCTGAACCCTCAACAGTCTAAAGAATTCCCTCACTGATTACACTGTAAATGATAATCTACCTTAACCAAAATCGAAGTAGACTATCACTCACCCACACCAGATGGAAAACTCTACAGACTGTCGTTTCACACCCCATCACAAGCCAGCAAAACATCCACGAAACAAAGAAAGGTCTGTCACAGCCAAAAAATACACTCCATAATATATCTGTTTGTGACAATATATATATATATATATATATAATATACGCCTTGTCGAAGAAAGTGATAATTGACAGGGTTTACAAACAAAGTTCCCTTTTCTTTTCTTTTCAAAAAAAAAAAGAGTTCTTTTTTTCATACTAAACAAGTATATATTACATCTACACAATAAGTTATCTACAGTCAGTATAACATTACATTAAAAAAATGAATAATTAATGCATCAGATAAGATAAACACGAATAATCGTAAATAGCAGAAAGACTGAAGTTTTTTTTTTCTTTTCTTAATGACCATTCTTTTAATATCCGGAAAACGGGTCCGGCGTCCCTTACATATTTGCCACGGTGACGTGGAGCTGGGCGAGGCACTCCCGGCCGAGAAAGACTGAAGGTATTTACAATAAGTAATAACGAGTTTTTCTTTTTTTTTTAATGTCTACATATCGTCATAGCCTTGTCGCACGGGAGGGAGCGAGGGAGGGAGGGAGTATGTGTGTGTGTGTTTGTGGAGAGAGAGAGAGAGAGAGAGAGAGAGAGAGAGAGGGAGGGAGGGGGGGGAGGAGAGGCAATGGAAAAGGACAGGAGAAGAGGAATAGACGAGGAAGAAGGAAGGTCTGGTAGTGGACCGGAAAAAAAAAAAAAAGATGATCAAATCAATCAATCATTACATCAATCAAGCAATCAATCAATCAATCAATAGGTTACTCAATCAACGAAGTAGCAACACCCGCTGGACAGGCCCCGTGGTTTGCAGTCACTTCAGTCAGTCAGTCAAAAACTTGTGCAGCCAAATAGACTGAATGCTCCGGGACCCATTTTCCAGCAAAACAAAAAAAGTACCTCTTTCGCAGCCCCGTCTACAGTCTCTTCCTCACCAGTAGGCTTCTTCCATGTTAGCACAGCCATAGCGCAATCAATCAATCAATCAAGCAAGCAAGCAAGCAAGCAAGCAAGGAATCAACTAATGAATGAATCAACCAACCAACCAATCATTCATTCATTCATTCATTCAATCAATCAATCAATCAATCAATCAATCAATCAATCAAGCAAGCAAGCAAGCAACCAAGCAACCAAGCAATACTCATGTAATACCTCCTCCGCAGTCCCGATTGTCACAATATCTTTGACTCCCTGTAGCCTTATTGCTTGTTAGGACCGCCATAGCGTCCCTTTGACTTCAGTGTGCGTGCCTATTGGTGCTCGTCCTGAATGAGGAGCACGCGCGCGGAGAAGTACGACGAACACGAGGAGAAGGCCGACGAGGACGAGGAGGAGGAGGAGCACCAGGGGGAGCACGCCGAGGAGAAGGAGGAGGAGGAGGAGGTGGTCACGACGAGTGGAAAGAAGAGGAGGAGCTCTGGGCAGTGCAGGCCATAGCCATGTCAACAAGCATGGATGGTTTGTCGGACTCGAGAGACAAGCGTCAGTCTGAAAGCGTCGACTTTTCCCGCCATCCGTGTCACACAATGTGCAAATGGAGAATGAACTTGCCGCTAGAACATGACCAGATCCACCCGCCACCTTTTTTGTCTTTTTCGCATTTCGAGTGTCACAGTGGTGCGGCGAGGCCCGCGATACTTCTGCGCATGTCCGCCAGGCGCGAGGGGAAGAGGGGGAGCGGGGCAGAGGGAAGACGACGAAAAAGAACATCTTCTATCTTTTGCCTCTTGCCTGTTTGTTTGGAGGGAGAGAGAATCTTTTTTCCAAAACAAAAAAAAAGAAAGAATCTTTTTGGTCTCTCTTTCAGAGAGGACAACCCCGCCACAGCAGGGCCTCCCTCCGATAATCTCCAGATGCACAACCGAAAGGACAATATATATAGCAATGTATCTTCCCATGTCTAGCGGGAGGATTCAGTCTCATTTCGCACATTTCGTGAGTGGTGGAGCGAGGCCCACAGTTAGACTTCCCGCAACAACAACTACAACAGCCACAACTGACTTGTCTGTTTGAAAAGTGAAAAGGAAAAAAAAAAAAAAAAAAAAAAAAAAGAAAGGGGTCAGCCAATTTGGTCTCGTGCTCAAGCCATGGTGGGGGAGGGCCACAAGATATGGATGAAGCTGGCGGAGTACATCCTGGGTAGGGAATGGGGCCTCGAAGATCCTACAAAGCTATGGCTATGTTTAATGCTGCCATCTTTCACACAAGGCGGTCCCCAGTCCAGACCTGGGGCAGCATCATCTTCGCATGGAATAAGGTTAAACCCTCTGAATGGAACCCGCCAACCACCAAGTCAGAGTGTCTCAACCCTATGTGACACCTGCGGCCTAGGCCGCGGGCAATTCGGCAGCTGCGGCTGAAAAAGTCTGCCCCGGCTGCTGCCGCGGCTGATGAGGCCCAGTCCGCAGTCTGGTTTTTCAATACTTTTTTTTTACCCCTAAAAATACGTAAAAATTAAAAATATATATATAAGGGTGTAGGGCTTGCAAAACCCTACAATCCTATTTTTTTTATTTTGGAACCCGACTTCGTTTAAGATTTTTAAAAAAAGAAGAACGAAATTCGATTTAAACAAAATATTATTAAAAAAAAAAAGCAGGAATTTTTTTTGGCCATTTTTTATCATGAGGGATATGGTCCCTGAGTTGTGCTGTATTTTTTCTAGAAATGATTTTCGTTTTTTTGTAGGGGAATTAGGTGTTTAAAAAAAATGAAGATGCAAAAATTTAAAACAAATCAACAAAAAAAGGGTTTGATTGATTGATTGATTGATTGATTGATTGATTGATTGATTGATTTGATTTGATTTGATTGATTGATTGATTGTGTGTGTGTGTGTGTGTGTGTGTGTGTGTGTGTGTGTGCGCGCGCGCGCTACAACATGGAAATATGCACCGCCACTTGTGCCCGCCCGCTGCTGCCCCTTCGCTCCCACTTGCCGCGGCCCGTGTGTGTGTGTGTGTGCGCGCGCGCGTGTGTGTTTGTGTGTGTGTGTGTGTGTGTGC